GGGGAAATTATTTTGGCTTATTCTGAAAAGTTTTTTGTGTTTTTTTAAGATTAGGTTTCTCTTTGCCTATCTGGGATTTTCTTTCAGAAAAGCCCTAGTTAGGAATTGCTACACTTGGATTGGATTCCATGGTTTAATGACTGGAAGTAGATGTCTAAGTATTTAAAAATACCTTTATAGTTCCATATATTCCAGTTCAACATGTGGTCTCCCTTTGTCCCCTCCCACCTTACTGGCTGTCTTTCTTCACATTAACACACACACACACACACACACCACTTTTTAAACTTTTTATTATCATCACTAGTAGTGAGTGGATTTTGTCCAGTCTGAAAGCAACACATTATTTCACTTGGAGAGATCCCCCTTTCCAGGTCTAACAGATGCAAATAATAATAATTAAAAAACCCCAGCAGCACAGCTTGCAATCTTTGTTAGTGGAAGGGAGCAAGAGTCCATTAGCACTTTAATGACTAACAAAATTTGTGGCAAGGCATGAGCTTTCAGGAGTCGCTGCTCACTTTTTCAGATACAGCTAGAATGTGAGTCCATTTGTCCTTATATCTTGGAAAGTGAAGTGATTTCAGATGCCAAATAACAGCAGCAGCCATTGGTAATGAGAGAAGAAACCTAAGTCTCAGTTCTGCCCAGGAGGATGTATTGCACTTCATTATCAGTTGTAATTCATCAGTCTCCTTTGTAAGAGAACTTCTACTCTTAGGTAAGCAACTGAAATTACTCTTAGGTAAGCAAATGGGGTCGCGAAGAGTCGGACCCGACTGTGCGACTGAACAACAACAAAACAACTGAATGCCCTGGAAGATTAAGATGTCCCCCCATTGGTTTTTGAATGTTGTGGTTTCTTATAGCTGTAGACTCAAAGCAGCCCAGGAAGAACTAACGTCATCAAGCCAAGCCAAAATGAATACCGCCCGGAACATGACTGAAGCCTACAGCTGAACAAAATCCCTGTCGGCTGCAAACGTGTGCGATTTAAAAGAATTATATGTTGTCCTCCCTTACCCCTATCATTATTAGTCCCTTGTGAAAACCTGTGTAACTGTAAATCGCTCAGAGCCAGCAGCTCTGCAGGATTGAGCGATCAATAAATCGAAAGGTATCATCATCATCATCATCATCATCATCATCATCAACCTTCAGGGACTCCCATTTCACTCTGGCTCTTGTCATTCCAGTCCTAGAACACTTCTTCTACTTCCAGGGGCTGTCATTCAACTCTGGGGCCTGTCATTCCAGTCCCAGAATGTTTCTGCTACCCCCAGGGATTGTCACTCCACCCTGGGGCTTGTCATTCCTGTCCCAGAACACTTCCGGCACTCCCCAGGACTGTCATTCCACTCTGGGGCCTTTCATTCATAGAATGGGACAGCTCATTAAAAAGTGATAGGATTATGATTACAGCAACCTGAAAACAAAGTTTACCTGTTAGTCACAGTATGGGGCAAATATCATACAGAAGGTCCCAGGATTGGGCCCCAAAATCTCCACCCAGAGGGGTCTCTGGTGGCAGGACTGGGAAGGATATCCGCCTGAGATCCAGGAGAACTACTAACTGAGTGGACAACTGTGGATCGGATGGACCCATGGCACAGCTTGTTATATATTGCATCTTTGGCCCTCCAATATGAGTAGATTCCTAATTAACTAAGAAGAATGTGGACAGCCAGCGTATAAGAATAGCTTGACTGCATGTTTGACTTCTTGTTCCTTTTTCGTCAGGGTGATGGAATCGATCTGCCTTGTGGAGCCATCCCCTGATTCTCGCAGCCTGCGGGTGAACACAGCAGCCTTGTCCTTCCTGAAGTCTGTGACTGGCCGCCTCTGGGTGGTGGCCATCTTTGGGCCCAAGGGGACTGGGAAATCCTTCCTCCTGGACCAGCTGGTGGGGCAAGATGGAGGTGAGTGCCCCAGCATCCTCTGTGGGTCCTTCTCCAGGGTCTTGTAGATGCGGCACCCCTTCATTCTCTTTATCCCCTTTTCCTCCAGGCTCCCCACGTTCTGCAGGAATATGGCTGCGTTGTTCACCCCACCCAACAAGACCGGATGAAAACCTGGTGTTCCTGGATACGGAAGGTCTTCCTGAAAAAATGGAGAAGGTAGGATTCTTCCGAAGTTTTTAGGTAGGCCGTTCTGGGGTTTGAAAATGAAAACATAAAGTCAGACAGCATTTCAGTGTCTTTCAACAGCTACCCCATTAGTTCTGTGAGACCATAAGAACTTGTGATAGCCAGACTAACGCCATATTGTTGTTTATGAGTGCTGCTTAGGGAAGATGATTCCAGAAATTGTGCTGCGCAAAGCAGGATGTGGTAAACTGGATAAGAGGGCCTTGAGCACAGCTTATTGAGCCAGATGGTTAGTGAAAAACAGGAAAAGTGATTTTGCAAGATTGCATAAAGTATTCTAAATAAGGGCAAGATAAATGTATGCTTAGCAAATGTACTTATCTAGACATAAAGGAAATTTAAGCGTGGTAATTTGAAGACATCTGCACATGTCTAAAAGTTGTTTATTGCATGGGATAAAAAGCTGATGGTGATGCCTTACTAACGGATTCCTTGGTTTTGCTACCGGGGTCCCCTTTATTGCAATAAAGTTCAGTCTGCTTCTGGAATCTCACTGGCTATATATTCATCATTGGGCACTGGCATACCAGCCAACACGACATATTTGGTTAACACTTTCTGGTGACCCAGATTGGACTCTGCCTGGTCACCCGGAGAGCGTGAGGATCTGGACTGACGACATGCGTTTCTCTGCCAGCATCAGATCGTTTGGGTCTAGTCGATCAGAGGCCGTGGGAAGCTATCAAGCAAGGCATGGTGGCTATCTCCTGTGGCAAGCAAACCTCTGGGATTTAGAAAGATATAAAGCGTTTGTACCTGGAGGCTTCATTGCTCTAAAGTAATTGATAGATCTTGTCTTTGTACATGCCACATAAGCTAAGGGGTCCCGAACATGGTGTCTGTGGACACCACAATGCCCTCCAACACCTTTTCTAGTGCCCGCCAAGTGTTTTTAGAAAGTAGGTGGAGTCAGGTAGGAGTTTTCCCCAGCAAGGTTTCTGATTGGCCATTGGATTTTTGATTGGCTGCAGAATTTTAAAAAATGTTGCTTTGGGAGCAGCTCCCACCATGTCACAAGGATCTTCACTGTGTGACTGAAGGCAGGAGGCAGCAGCCAAGAGACTCCACCTCCTGCGGTGGCCATTTTGTAGCCATGACCTTGACACTGTGTCAGAATTTCGAAGGTGCACATAGGCTCAAGAAGGTTGGGGAATCTGCTAATTTTTTTTTTTTGTAGCAGTGAATTGCATAAGTGCATAAAGTAATACTTCTGTTTTTAGCTAGCTGTTTTTCTCGGGGTGGGGGGGACGACAACTAGATGTATTTCTTTCCTCTTGTCATCTCTGTGCAAAATTGGGTTGCTGTCTTTTCTTTAATATATATACTGAAGCTCTGTTGTTGCATACCAGGCAGAAGTCATGAGGTGAAGGTTTGTAACTTCTGTGAGGTTGCCAAATCATGGAAAATCCACCCTGGTCCTGCTGTTGTGCCTTTAAGAGCAGTTTGAGGTGCAGAAATCAGGAGCTCAAAATGGTTTTTCACAGATTGGAAGGGTAAACATTATCTGCGGATCCAGTGGCCATTCAAGGCACAGCTACAGTAGCCAGTTAAAAAGTTGGCAGTTCTGTAATGTTGTCATTTTTGGCTTTATCCTGTTGTAGACATTTTCCTGTTTCTGTTTCCTGTGTGTGCTTGTTTTAATCTTAAGTCATATTGAGTACGCGATAGTAGAAAAGAGGGATCAAACGTTTCTCAGTAATAAAGACACACATCTGGGGTGGCTCACTTGACTTCCAGTTCCTGATGTCACTTCTGGTATCCCTACAGCATGAGAGGTCCATCTCCTTCAAACTGTTCCTTTTGGATGTACTGCTGTGCAATATCTTTATATATAACAGCAAAGGTGCTTGGGATGCCCAAGAAGAGCTTAATAAACTGATGTATCCTTCCTACTGCAGTTTTTATTGGATCACAGCCCAGTGAATATTCTGCAATATTAACAACAGGACTCTTCCTTTGTAATTTGGTGGGAATGGAATGCGGGCCTGGCTGGTACACAGGTCAAGCGAGTGAACTGAAACCCATAAACCTAATGGCAGCCATAGCTGACACCTGCATCTTGGATTTCTGCCTCTTTAGACTCAGACCGTCCTTACGCTTCCAAAATGTGAAGTCACTTGGATTGCCACCTGAGCAGAATTTTGTTCTCCTGGCTAGTTGCCATGAGGATGTAAAGCCAGGAACCCTTTGTGTTTTCAATTTTTTTTCATTTTGAGGGACCCCAACAGTGGCAAAGTTCACTGAGCAGAATTTTGTTCTCCTGGCTAGTTGGCATAACAGGAGGATGTAAAGCCAGGAACCTTTTGTGTTTTCAGTTATTTTTCATTTTGAGGGATGGTCTTTTAGAAAAAAAACCCCCCAACAGTGGCACAGTTCAAAGGGAAGAGGAAGTGTTTGCATTTGATCAAAGGTACGTGCTCATAACTACTTTTTAAATCTCTGTACATGCTCAGAGGCAACCAGCCCATGGCACCAGAATTTTTGAAAACAAATGGGAAATCTAATTGCATGGGGGGTGGGGAACTGGATCGCAGTTCTCATTCTTCGTTTCTCTCCACTCTGAAATCAAATCCCTGAATGCTTTCACAATCCACTCCTGGGCCTTCCAGAAGTTCTGTTTTCCTCAGCCAGCATCCTCCCTGCAGATATGTGAAGATGCTCCCAGACAAAGTACGAGTCCTGGAGGATTGTCCTATGGTGAACAGGTTCCTGCTTAGTAGCATGCTGCCTGACTTTGTGTGGTGCCTTCGTGATGTGGCCTCTGAGGAAAGGGTGCTACAAGATGTGGATCTTAACTTGGATCTCATCGTCTCCCCTCCGGCAGGTACGCTTCCATATCTTAGCCACCTCCTCCCTATCGGAGGCAGGTTGCGATCCTGTTACTTGAAAACCATTCCCACTGAAACCAGAGCATCACCATACTTGGGACTCTCCTGTAAAACCAAGGAAAAGGCTTTTCAGTGTTCTCATTTTCCTCGCTAGTAAGTTCCTGTTTCTTCAGGGAGATTTTTCTGCTCTACCCGTCTTTTGCTTTCTCCAGTGGTCAATTGGATATTACACTGGTTTATGTCTGCAGGCCTAGGAGTGGGCCTCTTTTTTAGCTTTTAGTCTCTTATTTCTGGGTTAGTCTCTTAAAGTCTCTCTTTTTTCAGAATAAGTCTCTTTTCTCTCCTTTTTTGTGCCTTCAAGTGCTCAAGAAATTAAAATTGTGGAACAGAATTGTGGGATGTGCTATTCTTCCAAAGCAATAAAGGTATGTGATTTGTCTTATTAAATGTATGATCAGTATTTCTTTTTTATGAGTTTCTTATGATGAGAATTTGCTCATAATGTACACTTTGTGTGTGTGTGTGTGTGTTATGATGCTCTGAAGAAGCTAACTTGTATCATTTCCCTGCGTAGCCCTTTTTCAACTCCACCCCCTGAAAATGTTACATTTCATTGGTATATTAGGCTTGTTGCATTTTATTAGTGTTAAGTTTTATTCTGTTAGTATCTTATTTTGTTTAGTTTTTTTTAGTATTAGTGTTTTACTTTAATGCTTTACTTTTTTCATTTTCTAATTCCTTTTTCCTTCTTTTCAGGATTCATTTTGAAATGGTTGGCTGCTGATCTGTGAACTGAAATATTAATGACGGGAAAGTGCAAATTTAGAGCCAATTGGCTTCTTAAAAAATACCATAATGGACAATTTATGTCATTATGTCATGAAAGTGAAGCGTTTTGCAAACTTTGTGTGTGTACAATAGATTTTCAGAACAAAGGTCTTCATGCTCTTTTTCAACACTCAGACTATGCTAAACATAAAAAATTAGCCTCTGATGTTCTAGGGGGCTAAACAGATGGTTTTAGTTGCAGCTAATCCTGGTGATTCTTCTGAAACAATCCAGAGTGAATATCCCGGATCAAGCCATAGTTCTTCAACACCTCTTATTAAACTCTATAGTTCGAAGAATGCGACAACAGTATCTGAACTCAGTTGGGTTATGAAGTCGGTGTGTTGCAACTTTTCAGCATCTTCTTGCAGTGGGATAAAGGAAACATTTGATGCAGTGTTTCCAGGGGGTGTTCCAACTGATTTTTCTTTAAGCCCTAAAAAAGGTGTGATATTTAATAGCTGATGCACGGGGACCATATTTTCATCAGATCATCTCAGATGATGTGGGAACCTCCTTTTATTCAGTCTGTTTTGACGAAACAACCAATGTTGAAGACAAAAAGGAGCTCCAGATATGGGTGAGATATTGGTCAGAGGGTAGAGGTAAAGTAGTTTCAAGACATTTGCAGACATTCTTCATCGGGAAAGCTGATGCACAAACTCTTCATGAAAAAATCCACGCTGCCGTCAGTAGGGCAAACCTGTCCATTCACAAACTGCTGATGATTGGTTCAGATGGTCCTAATTTGAATAAGAAAGTCCACAGACTTTTCAATGGAAATTTGTTTGAAGTGAGGTCACGTGGATTAGTTGATATCGGGACCTGCCCCCTTCACATTGTTCACAACTCATATCTGAAAGCCTTTCAGACTTTTTGGTGAAGATACATCTGAATTAGCTAATGGTAGAGGAATACGAAAAGTTACAAGAAGATCTCAAATTACCTCAAAAGAAATTCCTCAAACATTCTCCTTCTAGGTGGCTTACATTTCGCTCTGCTTCCGAGAGACTGCTCGAACAGTGGGAAGGAGTAAATCATTACTTTCTTAAATTGATTCCATCAACAAAGAATCAGGCTGTGTTACAATCTAGTTCATACAGAAAGATCGGCAATTTTTTACGTTGCTCAACTATCAGAGCAGAATTGTATTTCACTATATCTTCTGCAGAACTTTTCACTAGCTTCACCGAAAGATTCCAACGAGGTGAACCTTTAATTCACATCCTATACCCTCAGCTACAAGAACTGTTAGGGATACTGGCTAGACATGTTTGCAAGTCTGTTTCTGAAGATAACTATGATGTGAATGAATTTATTTGAAAAACATGTTACCCATGTTTCATGGGAAGTTAAAAAGGAACTTTCACATTTTCCAAAAAAAGATTTCTTGGTGTTTATGAAAAATGCTAAAGAGCATTATGTTGCTGGATGCAAATACTTGATTGACAAAGTAATGAAAGGCTGTGCTTTGCTGAAAGCTCTGAGATGTGTAAACCTTTCTCTTGTGAAAATCTGAAAACGCTGTCAAGATGTCGTTTCAGTTGCCAGAGAACTCCCTCCAGAGAACTCCCTATCGATACAAAAGATGTTCTCATTGATGAATGGAAAATGTTGCAGATGGAGAAAGACCGCCCAGATTTTGAAGGAAGAGAATTGATAGTTTTTGGGATTAAATTTTAAAGAAAAGTAATGTATCGGGGGTGGGAATATCAAGAAAGTTATCAAAAGTTATCAAGACTGCATTGTCTCTATCACATGGAAATGCAGACATTGAGAGGTGTTTTTCTGTGTCAAGATGGGCTTTGACTGAGGACAAGGCTTCCACTTGTGAACGAACATTGAATGCAATTTTGTTGATTCACCCCACCCTGGCATTACCCTGTGGAAATAAACCTGAACTGGTTCCCATGACATCAGAACTTATTGCTATGGGACAAAGTGCATATAAGCAATACATAATGTACTTAGAGGAACAAAAAAGATTGAAAGAGGAGGAAGAAAAAAAAGAAAGAGGAGGAGATACATTTAGCTAAAGAGATGGAAGAAAAGGCTAAACAAGCAGGAGAGTCTAGGGAAAAAAAATGCTGAGATAGAAAATAACATATCACTGACAAAAAAGGACCATGAGGCAACTTCTAAAGCATCTGACCGTCTGTTCGAAGAAGCCAATGAACGATTGAAGAGAGCAATACAGAAAGGAAATATGCAGGAAGTTAGTGTTGCACAGGGTATGTTGGAAGGCTATGTTGCTGTGAGTGGAACTGAGCAGCAAAAACTTAAAGAATGGGAAACTTCAAAAAACTGTAGAGAAAAGAAAAAACAGTTTGCTCACTGCTTTCTTTGGTAAAAAAACCCCAAAAACTTGATTCATTTTTTATTTGAATTAGCATTCCATTTAATTTAATTTTAAAAAATCCTAATCATACTTTTTAGTGTGTTTTTTGTTTTTATTCAATAATAAATGAAGAAGCTATACCCCATCCAGGACCAGAAACAAACTTAGCCTTAAACACCAAGTGATATACTGTGCATGAATATATATGCGTATATACAAACACATAGTATATTCTACTGTATGTTACACTACCTTTTTGGGGGGGAAGTTTTGGAGTTAAAAATAGCTTGATTAACAAACTGAAAAATTTAAATTGGAAGAAAACCACTAGGTAGATATTATCATAAATGATAATTCATTTGATCCCAAGCTAAAGAACTTTTTCGTTTTTTTTAGTGTGACTGTTCATGTAATTTTACATCCCACTCAAGTTTTGAGAGAAAAATTATATTCTTTATCATTTTGTAGTTACACAAAATGTATATACTTATACATTTGTTTCTGGTCTCAACCGGCTGTCCGAGTTTGGACTCTCTGCCTCACAGGGAAGATGGGACTTACCTCCCATTTCCAAGTAAGGAGACCACCATCAAGCCGGAGAAGAGCTGGGGAGATGGGGGAGTGGAAGACGAGGGATACAGCAGACAAGAAGACTAGGAAGTATTCACCAAAGAGGGCTGGACTGACAGAGCTTTGAGAATTGGAGACACTCTGAAGCCCAAAAGCAAGAGGAAGATAAGAGGAAGAGAGATCGAGCCCTGTGGAGATGAAGATGTGACCTCAATGTCCTGTAGACAAGATCCCCCTGGGCAGAAAGGCGGAAACATACCCGGAGCGAGTTCTCAATGATTGGCGGATAAGGAGAGGGGAAGCCTAGGAATTGATTATTTAAGAGGGAAGTCAAGGGAGAGCCGAGGAGGACGCGCCCACTTGACTCTGCGTGCAGAGACCTGGAGGGTCAAACGGGAGAAAGTGGGAGACAGGGAAGAGGGGGACGACGGTCAGGAGTAACCTCCCCCCTTCCTTTGTCACCACTGAGGCTCATCCTGCGACTAGAATCCTCTGAGAATAATCGTCCTGGAGCAACTGTCCTCTCTGCACTCCGCACAACAAAACCCAGGTACTGACACTGGCCTTTCTTTGGTTGGGGATTATTGAAAAATACATGTATTTTATTTATCAGAATTGTTAGTGCAAAAACATGTGAGCATCAAACATTTGAACCATATGGAGCACTTGGTGGCTTGGTCTCTTTAGTCTCTTTTCAATCTCTTTTCCTGCCATTTTAGTCTCTTTGCTCTCTTTTTTTGGGGGGTGGTCTACCAGTCCTAGCCCTAGTCATGCAAATCAGGTGGTATGAAGTCACCCAGAGGTTGCTGCCAGTTGCCAGCCTCCAGGTGGGACATTGGCAGGGCTCTTTTTGTAGCAGGAACTCCTTTGTATATTAGGTGAAACACCCCTAATGTAGCCAATCCTCCAAGAGCTTACAGTAGCTCCTGTAGGAAGAGCTCTGTAAGCTCTTGGAGGATTGGCTACATTAGGGGTGTGTCGCCTAATATGCAAAGGAGTTCCTGCTACAAAAAGAGCCCTGACTGAATTACAACTGAATTTCCGACAACAGAGATCTGTCTCCCTGGAGAAAATGGCTGCTTTGGAGGGTGGACTTGGTGGCATTATATCCGGCTGAGGCTTCTCCCCTCCCTTCCCAAACCCTGCCTTCCTCAGATTCCATCACAAAATCTCCAGGAATGTCCCAACCTGGAGCTGGCAATCCTAGACCTGGTCCCACTGAGTCCTCCTTCAATGCCAATTGGGCAGTGCAAATCCCCCTTTCTCTTTGCTGTCCTGTAAATATTTAGTTTTAATTCTTTGTCTTTTAGATTGCCAAATAAATTTATTTGTTATTTTCTCTAAATCCTTAAAGAAGTCATAATTTTTTAATATTGGTATATTTTGCGCCAAGAACAAGACTCTTGGTAGAATGTTCATTTTTATGGTCGCTAGTGACAAATGTTTTTGTCCCCAATTTTTCAGATCTGTGTTAATCTCGGTTATAAGTTTTTGGTAATTATTTTCATACAGCTTTGCAGTATTATCTGATATCCAAATACCTAAATATTGCTTTTTGCACTACTTCCATTTCAGACATCTCCTTTAACCTAGTTATCAATCTTTGGGAGCAGTTTTTCACTATTATCTTAATTTTTTGAATGTTTATTTTAAACCCAGCTAGTTCTCCAAAATCTTTTATATCTTTTATTAATGTTGGCAATGATTGTTCCGGATCTTCGAGTATAAATATCAAATCATCGGCAAAAGCCTGTACCTTATATTCTTCTCCTTTTACTCTCAACCCCCTTATTATTTCATTAGATCTTATTTTGTCAATTAATGACTCAATTATAAATATAAATAATAATGGAGAGAGGGGACATCCCTGCCTTGTACCTTTCTGAATTTAAATACTTTGGGATATCTCGTCGTTTACTAATATTTTGGCGCTTTGTTTATTGTACATAGCTTTTATCATTGCATAAAAGTTCTCCCCACATTCCCATAACTCTAATTTTTTAAACATGTACATCCAGTTTATATTGTCGAATGCTTTCTCTGCGTCTAAGAGAATTAAAGCCATCTGTTTCCCTGGCTGCATTTCATAATATTCTAGTACATTTATTATGTTCCTTATATTATTTTGTATCCTTCTCTTAGGTAAGAATCCTGATTGATCCTTTTGGATTACTCTTGAAAGCACTCTAGAAAAAATATATTCTTTATCATTTTGTAGTTACACAAAATGTGTATACTTACACATTTGTTTCTGGTCTCAACCGGCTGTCTGAGTTCAGACTCTCTGCCCCATGGGGAAGATGGGAGTTACCTCCCATCAAGGGTCATTTCGTAGAAAAAGAGGTGCAGGAGCTCATTAGCATAACTCATTAGCATAACTTATTTGCATATGTGCATATATACACACACACAATATATTCTACTGTAAGATACACTACATATTTTTTGGAAGTTTTGGAGTGAAAAATAGCTTGATTAACAAACTGAACATTTTAAATGGGAAGAAAACCACTAGGTAGATATTATCATAAATTATAATCCATTTGATGCCAAGCTAAAGAACTTTTTCAGGTTTTTTAGTGTGATTGTTGATATAATTTTACATCCCACTCAAGTTTTGAGAGAAAAATTATATTCGTTATCATTTTGTAGTTACACAAAATGTGTATACGTACACATTTGTTTCTGGTCTCAACCGGCTGTCCGAGTTCGGACTCTCCACCCCACGGGGAGTTACCTCCCATCTCCAAGCAAGGAGACCACCATCAAGCTGGAGAAGAGCTGGGGAGATGGGGGAGTGGAAGACAAGGAGGGATACAGCAGACAAAAAGACCAGGAAGTATTCACCAAAGAGGGCTGGACTGACAGAGCTTTGAGAACTGGAGATGCTCTGAAGCCCAAAGGAAGGAAGGAAGAGAAAGAGAGATTGAGCCCTGCAGAGACGAAGATGCAACCTCGATGTCCTGTAGACAAGATCCACATGGGCAGAAAGGCGGAAACATCCCCGGAGCAAGTTCTCAATGATTGGCGGGTGAAGGGAGGGGAAGCATAGGAATTGATTATCTAAGAGGGAAGTCAAGGGAGAGCCGAGGAGGACGCGCCCACTTGACTCCGCGTGCAGAGATCTGGAGGGCCAAACGGGAGAAAGTGGGGACACAGAGGAGAAGGGGACGAAGGTCAGAAGTAACCTCCCCCTTCCTTTGTCACCACTGAGGATCATCCTGCGACTAGAATCCTCCGAGAATAATCGTCCTGGAGCGACTGTCCTCTCCACACTCGGCACAACAAAACCCAGGTAGCGACACCGACCTTTCTTTGGTTGGGGATTATTGAAAAATACATGTATTTTATTTATCAGAATTTTTAGTACGAAAACATGTGAGCATCAAACATTTGAACCATATCTGGAGCACTTGGTGACTTGGTCTCTTAAGTC